TGGGCGCCGCGGGGGCTCGGCCTGGCTCGGCGGGCCCCTGCCGGGAACCGGGCCGCCGCGCTCCGCCGTGCGCCGCGCGCGAGGGGCCTTTAAGGGCCGGCTACCGCCCTTTAAGAGGCGGCGGGCCGCGGCCGGAGCGTCTCGGTGGCTGCGTGCGGCCCGGGAAGGGGGCGGGGGCGATGTGCAGGCCCGAGCGCGGCAATGATTGGTCTCGGGGGAGGGGTGGGGGGTTGCAAACCCGAGGAGCGGTGGCATCCGTTGCATGATGCAAAAAGGATTGATTTCAAAAGTTGCGAGTTGCATTGGCAGCAGCCTTTGGCGCCCGGGCCACCTACTTTTCCTCGACCCGCCGGAAGGGCCGGGAATGTTTCCCAAAACCTGGCCGGGCTCCACCGCGCTACACCCTGCGGGACGCTGTACCTGCTCCCCGAGCGCCGCCGTCGTTTCGTACTGGGAGACAATGACCGTGGAAACAGTTTCAAAAAGAGTAGGAGCAGAGGAAAAGCCGCCTCTGCTGCGAGGGAAGATTTAAAAACATAAACGGCGCGTCTGATTAATAGTGACTTGTGTCGTCTCTCCCTTCTATTGTTTTAGCCTGGCTCAGGAGTTAACGTGAGCCTCACTGGGTGTGCAGACGTCCTGCAAAGTTTCTTGAATGTTCAACGTGCTTGGGAGGGAGTCCGAGCTCAAGGTTCCTCAGTTACATTGTTTGCTCTTCACATGTCCAAGTAAACATGGCAGCCTAATACTGTGTGTGTTTGAATTAACACTGATAGGACAGCTTCAGCTTGCGAAAGTGCTTTCTTCGGGTTTTCAACTCTCGGAGGCACTGCCGATGAAAGTAAAGCAAAATGCTTTCATAACACTACGTCTTTTAGGGCTTCCCTCAAAACCGAGGAGTGTGGAGGAATGCCGACGAAACTTTGCTCGGGTGGTTCGGCATTTTCTAACTGGGTTTTGGGGGCAGTGATGTTTTTGGTAACCGAAAGGTGCTTTATGTTGCGGGTCAGATCTGCGGGCTCTGCAGATGCCCTTTTTCATTCTTAAAATTTCTGCCGGACAATTCCTCGGGGTGTCAATCTTGGTGAGGAGGCAGAAGTGATGCAACGAAGCCGACCGGCTGATGCAGGCTTTTCTGCGCTGTGGTTTTTTTCTGTGTGCCTCTACAGGAAGTTAGGGAAAAACATAGTAGCCCGGATTCTCCGATGTGAATTGTTGGACTTTTTTCTTTTCTTTTCTTTTCTTTTCTTTTCTTTTCTTTTCTTTTCTTTTCTTTCTTTTTTTTTTTAAGAATGGCACGGCCCTGTGGTTGGCAAACCTGGATCCGCATCTGCATCACCTGGGAAGACGCCTGTATACACCCCCCAGACCTCCAGACCCGTGAACGGAGGATGCAGATACCTTTAGTCCTCGCATCCCCTCCCTTTTAAGATTGATTTTGTGAATCGTTGTGGGGTTTGGGTTTTGTTTGTGCGTTTTTAATTTTTTTGTTTTAGTCAAAGTCACAACTAGAAAAAACAATTTGGGGGGTTAGGGGCAAGGTGAGTGGGGCCCTACATGAAGATCATGTGTCATGCTGAGGAGGTTGGCATTTGTGCCGTAGTCAGCAGAGTTTGTCAGATTTGTTTTTTTACAAGTTGAGCTTGTAGAAAAGGCTGCACTTCATCTGGGAGGATGCCGACTCCTGGAGGGGAAAACGGGGCCACATCTCTAATTAGCAGGTAATTGTAGTAGTCGAGCATGGAGTTGAGGGTATTTGAAATGAAGCAGCGGGAATGTGGACAAAAGAGAGGAGTGGAGGTGATTTAGTGTGTGGTTGGAGGAACAAGCATAAGATGACGCCCAGATTTCTAGTTTGGGGGGGTCTGGGTGGGTAGTGATGCTAACTGAAATGGAAACTATGGGAAGGCAAACAAGTGTAGGGGCGAGTTCGGCTTTGAAAATGTGAAATTTCAGGCACCTGCCAGATAGTCTAGGCTGAATGCAATGGGTCACACAAGGGCTGGCGCTTGGGGTGGGGGTGGGCTCTGAGTTTGAGATGCAAATGTGGGACCATCAGCATGTAAATGGAGTTTCTAGCCTCGGAAAGAGGTGGGATTAACCGGGAAGGAGAATTGTGGAGGAAAGTGAAAGAGACCTTGGACAGAGCCCTGCGGGGCTTCCTTGTGGAATGGCTGGCGGAGCAAGAAACTGATCCGTGCGGAGTCTGTGGGAGGCCAGCATCCTCAAAACCTGCTCCTTCCTCCTCCAGCACCCCAACCCCTGGGTTTGGAGCTCTCAGCAGCTCTGCAACACCTGGAATCAAATTCTGAGCACAGGCGGTAGACTCTTGACTGAGCTACGGATGCCTTCATTCGTGTGGAGTCGGTCTTCAGCCTTGGGGCCAGACGATCCACTGGATCTCTCCACCCTCCTTCTCTGTCCTAAATGCAGGGTTCTCTGTGCTTCCCCCAGCCAGCTTTTCTCCCACCAGCCTTTGTCTGAGTCTTCCCCAGCGGAGCCATCAGAGGACCATCTTCCCTGAGTTTTCAGGTCCTGCTGATGCCAACTGAAAGATGGTTGTCCTAGGTTCCTTTACCGCGTGGACCCTTAAAAAATACGTATTTACCAGCCCTGCCTCCAAAGATTGTATCTAGCTGGCACGATGGGTTGAGTTAGGACAAAAATTCTTTGCTCGGCCAAACTTTAGTCAGGCTCCTGAACTTTCTAGGCTCAGCTGTGTACTTCCTTGTAAAATCCAGTTTTAGCAATATCCGTGCCCCCGTCCAATATCTGATCAGGTTCCCCATCCCCCAGGTGATGTCTGATCATCCTGCCTTTAGCAAGAATCCTGTTAGGTCGGTTTAGCCGGAATCCCCCCACCCCCACCCCTGTTATTTCCTCTTCCTAATTTTCCACCTACAGATTCCCACCCTGCTCCTTGGCTGTAAATTCCCTCTTGCCCGTGCTATATTCAAGAGTTGAGCCCAATCTCTGTCCCTCACTGCAAAATTCTGTTGCAGTGGTCCTGAATAAAGTCTGCCTTACCATGTTCAACACATGTCACAAACCGTTATTTTCTTTAATCATTGTGTCCCCCACCCCAGAAGATGTATCGAAGTCCTGACTTCTGGTACCTGTGAATGTGGCATTATTTGGAAAGGTCTTTGCAGATGTCATCAAGTTAAGATGAGGTCGTGGTAGATTAGGGCGGGCCCTAAACCCAATGATTTATGAGGAAAGGGAGATTTGGGGACAAAGACACCGGAAAAAGGCCACGTGAAGACTGGGACGGAGATTGGAGTGAGACAGCTTCAAACCAACGAACGCCAAGGATTGCTTCTGACTCCCAGAAGCAAGGAAGGCCCTTCATTAGAGCCATCAGAGAGAGCATTCCCTGCCAGTGGCTTGATTCCAGACTTCTGGTCTCCAGAACTGTGAGAGAATACGTTTCTGTACTCTGTATTGAGCCACCCAGTTTTGTGGTCTTTGTTACAGCAGCCCCAGGCCACTAATACAGCTGGTCGGGGATATATGCTGGGGGGGGAGGGGGGGAAGGAGTACTAAGAATCCATGCTTTTATTTATGTTTGTTTGTTTTTATTTGTGGGGGAGGGGCAGAAGGAGAGAAAGAATCTTAAGCAGGGTCCATGCTCAGCATGGGACTCGATCCCACAACCCTGGGATCATGACCTGCGCCAAAATCAAAAGTTGGACGCTTTTTAACCCGCTGGGCCACCCAGGCGCTCCAAGAATCCTTGCTTTTAATGGGCTCCCCTGGTGCTGTGGATGCTGTGGGGGACACTGCCCTAAAGGATTCTGCTTTCTCAGAAACCCAGAGGGACAGGAGGCCGCCTGTTCCTCCTCCCACATTCTGTTACCTCCAAAGCAGCTCCGGTCACGTTACTTTCCTTCTGTCCTGACTTTCTCACTTTGGGTGTTTGCTATCCAGCGTTAACCACCATCTATTGCCGGGATAGTCCCTCCCCTACCTTGTTGGAATCTTGCCCGTTCAAGAGTGACCCCTGATTTGTCCTGGGTGGGGGCAAGGGTGGGGGGGGGTGGTGGCAGGTGGGAGGACTCTCCAGTCATGACTAAGACCTGGTAGGTGATGGGTACCTCAGATCTAACGACTTTCACCTTCACTCCTCTGCACCATAAACTGTCTCTTCCCTGGAGATGTTAAGCACTGACATCCTATCTCCTGTCGCCTTCCCGTCTCTTTACACCCACACTTCCACCGCAGGGGGGCCACCAGTCTCTCAAAGTGGCCCCTTGCCCTTCCATCCAGGCTGGAGCCTTCAACAAGCTCCCCAACCTTGTCTCCTGCACCGCCCTTCTTTGACCATATCTACCTGCAAACATCCGGCCTTACGTCCCTTCCATCCACCGTCTCCCTACCCCCCCCCACCCCCCCCCCCCCCCCCCCCCCGCCACCCATTTCACCACATGGAGAAAACTCAGAGCTCAGAGGTCGTGCTGTGACCGATGTATGATCTCTGGTGCCAACCGGGCTTTCCTGACAGCTCAGAAATCTCTAAGTATACTATTCCGAATGTTCATTGTTCTCTGCCCAAAGTCAGTCCTGTGCTGTTCAGCCCTCAGAAGCAGATGCA